GAGAGAGATAAGGGAGAGAGCGAGATAGATAAAGAGAAGAGAGAGAGAGAAAAAAGAGAGATGGGCGAGAGACACAGAGAGAAAGAGAGAGAGACAAACAGAGAAGAGTGATGAGTGAGAGAAAGAGAGAGAGAAAGAGAAAGAGAAGAGAGATAGAGACAGAGAAATAGAGAGACAGACAGACAGACAAAGAAGAGTGATGAGTGAGAGAGAGAAAGAGAAGAGAGACAAATATAGAGACAGAGAGAGAGGAAGATGAAAAAATAGGTGAAAAGAGAAATGTTATATCAAAACAGTAAGACGACGTCGTTTTTTTATTATTTTTTTATGACAGAAAAATACCGTTGCATTTATTTAAACCATTTTGTGACTATATATATGACGCCGTCTCAAAGCCACAATATATATATATTTACTTTTTCAAAATGGGTGAAAAGAGAAATGTTATATCAAAAGAGTAAGACGGCATCGTAAAAAACTCTATTTATTTTTTTTTGCGACTACAGCTGGTGCCGTCGCAAAAATACTCTATTTTTTTTTGCGAAAGCAATTTTTGCCGTCGCAAATCTCTAATTTTTGCGACGGCAAGTTGTGCCACCTCAAAAAGTCACATTTTTTTTTTGCGACAGCAAGTTGTATCGTCGCAAAAAACCACATTTTGCAACGGCAAATGTGCCGTCGCAAAAAGTTCCGTCTTTTAAGCCCGCTTTTCTTGTAGTGTACATACATTAGAGACACTCTAAGAGAACAACGAATTTTATATTGTCATCTTATTTTTGGGTTTTTTTTTTTATGGGTTTCCATTTTTTAAAAAAAAAAAAATTATCTTTCTATTATACAATTAAGTCCACAGACAACCAAGTATTATGTAGTATTGTCAATTTGGTATTCTTAGTTAATAAGAGATTGCAATACATAATAAGTATTTTATCTTTCGTCTCTCATATTTAATGAGAGTGAATTTTCAATCCATAACATTTTTCTTACTACATAATTGATTTAAAACACTTTGTAATGATATATAGTATTTCAAAATTACTAAATAATTAGCCAGGATGAGGACGGATAATTTGTGTGGGGTTGTAAGGATGTGGAGTGGCATTATATGTTTTGAAACAGATAACTGGTATGGTGAAAAATTATTTAGCATTTTTTAAGAAAAATTATAGGAAAAATTAGTGAAATATCCCTCTCCAATTTTGTGTATTAGGAGAGGTTCAAGATTTTTTTTTATTAGCTAAAATCCCTCAACATTTACACTGAAAAAATTCAACTTAGAGAAATTTCGACACTAACTCAGAGTAATTTCAAAATTTCTCTGGGAAATCAGAAAAAATTCTCTGCGAAAATTAAATTTCTCTAAGTAAGGCAAAATTTTCTTAGTCGAATTTTCTTTGAATGAATGTTAAGGGACCTTAACTATTATAAAAATATTGTACATCATTTATCTTATAAAATCTTAATATTAGGAACCTTAAAAAAATTCCTCAAAATTATATGATACTTTAATTTGATAATTATTAATATAAAAAATAAAATCAACTATATTTGTGTTTGTATTTTAGAAAATAGCATTAAAAATATCAATTGATATATTATAAACAAAAATGTTTAAGAGCACTAAAAGTAGAGCTTTAATGAGAGCTCTACTTATGTGGCAGTGGGCCCCACTCATGAATAATTTAACGACAATTATACATACCACTAAAAATAGTGCTCTAAATCACCACTAGTGAGTTGGCACACATTTAAAAGAAAAAGAAAAAAAAAAAACATTGTGGTAGTGGGTGGGGCCCACTGTCACATCATTAGTGCTACCACTAATTAGTGGTCTTAAGCATTTTCCATGATTTAATGTATGTGTCTTTTTTATTTATTTTTTTTTATTTTTACTCTATGCCACATCATTAGAGCTATTGTTAGAGCTCCAAATTTAGAGTTATGAATCATTGCCCTATTATAAAATAGATACAAACCCTCAAAATGGTGTGTCATATGCCTTTTTTTTGGGTGAATACATACCATATGTCTCCAGTTACGACTTTTGTAATGTTTGATTATGATTTATTATAATGTTAATTATGACTTATATGATTTGACTATGACTCATTGTGATATTACTTGTGACTCATTGCGATATTAGTTGTGACATAATCTAGTTATAACATTTGTGATAATTAATACCACAAATATCATAGCTTGCAAATGATGTGTATTATAGCATTACCTTATCTATACTATATATTATAGTAAAGTGAGTTTTCGTGGGAAGGCTTGTGGGAGCTCTACAGTCCAACTGAAATTTTGAATTAAAAAATAATTTAAAAAAATGCTATTGGCTAACACATTAATGTAATAATTATAAAAATATTAATTGTTTCATGATTTATGTTTTTCAAAAGGAGAGTAAAAAGAAAATCTTTCTTGATTTGTGCAAACCTATTACTTACAAAATCTTATCTTTCATTCTTCCTTTTCTTTTTTGTCCAATCTGTTCTCTCTCTACACAAAACCCTAACTGTTACACAATCACAACTTTTTTTTTTTTTCACACCATATAAAGCTTACTTATCGCTCAAAATATTATTTCATGCAACAGATCACCACAATACTTTTAAACTCTTTTGCCAAAGATATTAAAGGTTGGTTACTATTTTATTATTTTCTAATTGACTATGTCCTATTTTTTTCTTCAGAATTTATGGCTAATTATATATGTGATGGTTCTAAGGTAGAGAGGTATATATGTATATAGGAAGTACACATAACAAAAACAAAAAATTTGTGAAAAATCCACTCTAGCAATTGTCTCAGGCAACAGGTCCGGTAGATATTTTTTATTAGTGAGAGATCCACATTTTGTGATATAGTTTGGTGAGAAGTCCAAACCTATTATTACTTACAAAATATTTCCTTATTCCTTCTCATTTTTGTCCAATCTATTCTCTCTGTACACAAAATCCTAACTGTTACGCAATCACAAACATTTTTTTCACACCATATAAAACTTACTTATCGCTTAAAATATTATTTCATACAATAAATCACTGCAATACTTTAAACTCTTTTGCCAAAGATAATAAAGGTTAGTTAATATTTATTATTTTTTAATTGATTATGTCCCATTTTTTTCTTTAAACTTTATGGCTAAGTATAGTATAGTCAATGATGAAGTGATGTTGGAAGGTGGAGAGCTATACATGTATATAGAAAGTACAAATGTAACTAAAAGTGAAAATTTGTGAAAAAATCTACTCTAGAAATTGTCTAAGACAATAGGTCTAGTAGATATTTTTTATTGGTGAAAGGTTCACATTTTATGAAATAGTTTAGTGAGAAATCCAAAAGGACATTTTGTTTTTAATTTTATCCCGTAATTTATTTATTGACTTTCTTTAACTATCTATTCAAATTTTATATCTATCCTTTGAAATTTTTTCCCTATCTATTTAACATTTTCCTATCTGTTCAAATTTTTTCTTATCCGCTCAAATTTTTTGTCTCTGTTACATTTCCCCCCTTTATTTGCTTAAAATTTTACTAAATGTTGCAATTTTCTTACTATTTGTTCAAATTTTTAATTATCTATTCAAATTTCTCTCTTTCTGTTGATCATCAAGCCTTGGTTCATCATCTTCGCAATGAAGGCCATGCATCTAAGTGATAACTGTTGAAACCACATATTCACAGCCAAAACAGAATAAAAACAAAATGTATATATAAATATCTATATAATAAGGGAGGAAGGATTTTGAAAATGTATGTGAGATACATTTAGGTTCAAAGGCTGAGATCAATTTTGATAAAGATGAATGGTTCGGATGATGATTTATTCTCGTGCATACCCTAGGTGCTCTCTCCCTCTCCCACCTACCCACGTCTCTTCCCCCATTTCCTCCCTCCCCCCTCTCCTCCCTTTTCTTCTTAATATTTTCAATTTCAAATTTCTTAAGATCTATAGATACATTGTATAAAAATTATAAATTCATATTTTGCTCATATCTATATAATAAGGGAGGAAGGATTTTGAAAATGTATGTGAGATACATTTAGGTTCAAAGGCTGAGATCAATTTTGATAAAGATGAATGGTTCGGATGATGATTTATTCCCGTGCATACCCTATGTGCTCTCTCTCTCTCCCACCTACCCACGTCTCCTCTCATTTCATGCCTCCCCCCTCTCCCCTCTTCTCTCTCAATGCTCGCAACGTCCAAGGTAGGGTTTCAGATTGAGAACTCTCTCCTCCTCTCCCCCCTTCTCTCTCAGTGTTCGCTGCTCGCAAGGTAGGGTTCCGATTGAGAACTGGGTCACCGAGTTGGCTCCTCTGTTCCACGACCAACTTCACCACCACCCCAGATTCTCTCCCCCTCTCCCCCCTTCTCTCTTTTTTGAAGAAATTGAAAAATGCAATAGAGAATCTGAAGCTATTTAAGACAGACATGTTGGAGTATGAAGGTCTCTGTTTTGCCATTGCTGGCTGCACTGGTGTTATCCATCTTGCTTCTCCAACTCCCTTTGAACACATTCCTATTCCTAATCCTGAGGTAACCTTATTATAATTATTATTTATTTATTTAAATATTTCACTCTCCAAATCACACTTTGTTTGGACTTATAAGATTAAAGGGTAAATATATTTTTCATTCCTGTAACTTAATTTTTAGTTTGATTCCAATTGTTTTAATTTCAACAATATTAAGGGTAGTGATGGATCATGGTAAGGGTAGCAAATGACTGTCAACACCAAAATAAAGGGAAAAAATTGTTAGAATGTTTAAATGGCCCATAGAAATGAATGGTTAGAATTAAAATAATTCAAGTTAGGATTGATTTGTTACCAAGGTCAAGATTTTGAAGTTTTTCTTTTCTTTTTTAAATTTTCCAAAAATTAATATATGAAACCATGAATTACTAGGTATGCATACAATTATAGGACAGGCTCTAAATGCACTTAAAATTTTAGGTATGCATATAATTAAAGGGCAGGCTCTAAATGCACTTAAAATTTTAGGATGCATTTAAAGCCTCCCAACTACAGTCATATACCACAAATATAAATAATGTCATAGATGGAAGAAGGTGAGGAATCTTGATTTTAAGTTTCACTAGACTTCTTTCAATTTCTACTTTGTGCATTGCAATTGAATATGGAGTTCACTGAAGAAAAAATTAGATGGTTGAAGCCTAAGGGGTATCAAAACAAATTCTTGCATGGAATAAGACAAGCTCTGTGTAGTTGAAAATTTCCAAATTTTGGTCAACAATTTAATAAGATGAATGTGATCAATTTTTCACAATTAAAGAATTTATGAATCTGAAACTTGACAATCGACATATTTGGAAATTTGACAATACAGAAAGAATCTCCCTGTTGTATGATGTCAAGTTAAAGGATCAGATTGTATTAGTTATTTTGCCCCACTAAAAAAGAAAACCTATTTGTATGGGAGCTAAATTAATAAAAAAAAATTATGACAATGGAATTTACCTTCTTAGTTGGTTGATCCACAAGGGCTTTAATCACCACTGATTCTAAATCAAAGGTTGACAGAATCCAAAGAAAGATTGGAGGGAATCAAGAAAGATGATATTTTGACAGAATTGAAGAAGCAGTTAAGTCTGGCGGGGCCAATAGTAGCAATGAATCTGTTATTGTATTGTTTACATGTAATATCTGTTATGTTTGTGGGTCATCTTGGTGAGCTTCCTCTCTCTGGTGCTTCCATTGCCACCTTCTTTGCCTCTGTCACTGGCTTCAGCCTCTTGGTTAGTTTTCTTCTTTGTTTTTTCACTTTCACTTTTTTCTTCTTCTTTTTTATTTTATTTTATTTTGTTTTATTTTATTTTCAGTGATTTTCCTGACATCTGCTTTTACAATGTTTAAAGAAAGTAGAAGAGTTTTTGGATGGTGGAAGAGCATGAGAGTGCCAAAAAGTAGAGGGATGGAGTTCTTAAAAAGAGGAAGGATGCTAATCTTAAACATGTGATCATCTCTGAGAAGTTGGATAAGAAGGTGAGGAATTTTGATTTTAAGTTTCACTAGACTTCCTTGAATTTCTGCTTTGTGCATTGCAATTGAATATGGAGTGCTTTGTGCATTGCAATTGAATATGTTGTCAATGGCGTTGAGGTCGGTTTGCCGAGGCTGCAGACGCTTCCTGAAGGTATGTGTATATCAGATTTCTTAATGGAGTGATGAAACTGTTCTGAATTTATATTCTTAGTAGCCTATGAGGAAAATGTGCAGTGAAACATGTTTCATTCAGATAATTGAATTGAAATTACTAATGATATAGCTCTGTTTGAGCATTTCTATAATTCAATATTATGCTGGATTGAATTCTTATAAATGTTCCATTTTATGTGTTGTGGAAATAAAGTAAAATAAAATAAATTGAAAATGTGTAATATGTAAGTGGGCTGACAAGTGTTTGGTTTATGTGATCGTTGGATCATGAATGTTCTGTATATGTGAAGTTAGGATCAGGCTTAGTTGGATATAACTGAATTGAGTGCATGTTCATTTTTGGTGTTTGGAAAGAATAGTTATAACCATTATTCTCTTTGATCTCTATTGATACAACATTGCCAGTTGTGATGTTGAAACTTTGTTTAAAATCAGGGATAATGCTGTTGAAAAGTAGCAAACATGAGTACAATACAGTTAAGTTTATGTTGTCGATGGCGTTGAGGTCGGGTTGCCGAGGCTACAAACGCTTCCTGTAGGTATGTGTATATCAGATTTCTTAATGGAGTGATGAAACTGTTTTGAATTTATATTCTTAGTAGCCTATGAGGAAAATGTGTAGTAAAACATGTTTCATTCAGATAATTGAATTGAAATTACTAATGATATAGCTCTGTTTGAGCATTTCTATAATTCAATATTATGCTGAATTGAATTCTTATAAATGTTCCATTTTATGTGTTATGGAAATAAAATAAAATAAAATAAATTGAAAATGTGTAGTATGTAAGTGGGCTGACAAGTGTCTGGTTTATGTGATCGTTGGATCATGAATGTTCTGTATATGTGAAGTTAGGATCAGGCTTAGTTGGATATAATTGAATTGAGTGCATGTTCATTTTTGGTGTTTGGAAAGAATAGTTATAACCATTATTCTCTTTGATCTCTATTGATACAACATTGCCAGCTGTGATATTGGAACTTTGTTTAAATCAGGGATAATGCTGTTGAAAAGTAGCAGACATGAGTACAATACAGTTAAGTTGTCCCTTCTAAACCTTATCGGACAAGGGTGCTTGATAGGATTGACGAGGAGTTAGGATGCAGAAGCAATGAAACTTATAAACAAAAATCGGGCTGTGATTTTTGATTTTCTAATATGGGAAATTGGGTATTCATAAAAATGAAAACTTTGACAAATACTTTTATTGGTAATAGAAAGGGCCACAACTTGCCTGCAATGGGAACCCTTTGTTTGATTGGTCTTTTTATGTAGCAACTGTAGAGTAGTTTGCTTGCAATGAATATTTGGTATTCAACTTGCTATGTCTCTATGGATTTTGCATTTTCCTTTTCTTTTCTGGTAGTTAGATTGCTTTTTCACCTTAACAATGGCAATCTTCTGTTTTAGGAAAACCTGCTGGCTATGTGGGTTCAACCAAAAGAACTGGGCAATCTTCCTTTTTTTTTTTTTTTTTTTTATTTATTATTATTATTTTTTTTATAACTTTGTTTTCAACTCCATGAGGAGTTATCTTTGTTTGCTGCAACATTGTCATCTAATTGTGATGATATAATAGATTTTACTTGCAAGAGTGATTGTGTTTTTCATGTTGAAAAATTGTCACTCACTATGGAGGGTTGAAACAGTGATTGTATTTTATTTTATCTTTTGGTCAAAGTGATTGCTATTAATTGCTATTTATTGCCTGTAGATGGGAATCATAGATGAAGGGAAAGATATGTATCAGATTAGATAATGGGAAAGACCAAGAAAATTTGAGATAATTGAGATAATTGAAATTTTTTGAGACTAAGACATTGAAAATTTGTTTTTGCATTGTCTCTTTCTAGCATGCTTATTAGTAGCTGATTGGTGTACTTGGTTTAGTGTGTAGTATTTTGTTTTTATTTATTTATTTATTTTTAGGGAGGGAGGAGGGGGTTGTTAATGCAGTTACCCTAGCAAGAGTGCTTGGTTTGTTTTTCTATACGCTCATAGAAATTATTTTTGTGATTTTTTGGCACTCATAGTTGTGGGTTGTGATGTCACATTTGTTTGGTTACTTATTGGTAATTCTAAAGAAGTAACCTCACTATAAATAGATGGAGGCTTCCCTTCCCTTGCATTGTAAAAGGGAAAGGTGAGATAAATTGATAAAAAATTTAGTTTATATCTCATTGACATTTCCCTTACCATTTTTTTTATTTATTTAAAATTCCTATCCAAATCTATGATCCATACTCATTTGGAACCTATGATTTTGTTTTTGTTGTTTTATAGGTGTAACCTATGTTATTTGGTTTGGTTTGATTTGATTTGGGTCTGAAATAATATTTGATCTTCATAAAATGGGTTTTGATTTTAGAAATGTATTTTTATTTATAGTTTGATTTATGAAATGGATTTAATTCCTTAATGGAAAATGAGTATTGATTTTTTATGATTTTGAAAAAGTTTTTGAAATGGGTGTTGAAATAAGGTTCACATCGCCACCTCCGCTCTGTGACTATCCACCACCATTGAAAAAGAAGATCGAACAAAGAAAATTTTACCATTATGTTATAATAATTTTATTTTGATTTATATTTTAATCTCATTATTAATTGCACCGTGCCTTCATGTACGGGCATACACTAGTATACATATATAGAGCTAATAACATAAGATCAAACAAAAAGAATAGCAAAAAAACACAAATGCCTATGTAATCATAATGTATACACACACATACACACGCATATATATATATAGAGAGAAGATTACCATGGTCACTGGCAGGCACATGGGTGTGACGGATGAATCTCATCGCCACCGTCCACAACCAAAATTATAGTCAAATCTCCATATATGAGGATGAGCGAGATCGATAGCTAGAGGTAGAGCTAGAGTGAGATATACAGATGCGGTGAGCTACTGTGGATTGCCAGTAGAAGTACCATCATTGCCGTGTGTTAAATGAGAAAGAGAGATGGGGTATGGATTTGCGATCTGTGTGGATCGTTCACGGATTTGTGTAAGTCAAATCAGATCTCATCATACAACATTAAAATCTGTGCTGGCGGAAGGAGATTTGGCAGTAGGGAAGTGGGAAAGGACGTCAACGGGGACGATGGAGTCCATCGGAGTGAGAGATAGCGAGATAGAAACAAGAGTTAAGGATGCAAAATGATATATATGGATACTTTGGCCATTTTATACAAATTTGTCCTTTTAAATAAAGTATTTTTTTTATTCATAAAAATGGGTATGCAGATAGGCTACTCCAACATATCCACCAGGGAGTATTGCCCCTTAGCACCTACAACATATGTGCAGGGAACTCCACCGCACCTACGTCAGGGCCGAAGCTTAGGCCCCCGCGTGTTCCAGGTGCTAAAGAGTATGTTTAACCCCAACAAGGGGTTATGGAGACTCAAACCCAAGCCTTGAGTAAGGGATTCGAAGGTTTTATCCACTGAACCAACGCCCTGTTGGTCCTTTTAAATAAAGTATTTCATCGCCAAGACTTACGGACAAAAAAAATTCAAAATTAAATTTATAGCCTGAATGTCCTAAAAAATTTATTAGAAATTATTTATTTATTTTTATTAAAAAACACATATCAAATTTGTTTGGTTTAATTTTTTTAAATTATTTTTTAGTTTTTGTTTTTGTTTGTAATAAACTCTTTTTATTTTTTAATATTTCAGTCAAATATACCTACAAACTAAGACATTTATGCAAGAAAATTACTAAAGACAAAAAAATACAAAAAATGTGCTTTTTTTTTTGTTTTTATTTCTAACCTTTTCATTTTTAGTGATTTTCCAGTTTTCTTCACAAATTTTTTTTTTGGAGCATTTAGATTAATGTATCCAAAAAAATCTTTAAAAAAAATTAGTGAAACATGAAAAAAAAAAAATATTAAAGATAAAAAAAAATGAAAAATAAAAAGAACTCAAAAAATGTATTTGAGTTTGAAAGTACTATGACTTTGGCATTTTTTTTTTCTATAGCCAAATTAAATTATACTTATTAATAAACTTAATTATAATTTCTTTATAAAATAAATAAATAAATCACATAGATGAATTTAGAAAATACATTTGCAATTAGATTACTGATTATTTTAACATTAATTCTTTTAAGTGAAAATGTTACAAAATTATTATTTTGGTTCATATAGCTTTCTTTAATCATTTTGTTTTGTTTTGTTTTTTTAATTTGTGATTTGAACTACACAGCATCTTTTGCAATAATATATATATATATATATATATGGAAAATGGTTGGGACCACTAATTAGTAGTGGCACTAATGATGTGGCAGCGGGTCTCACCCATTGCCACAGTGTTGCTATGTCTTTTTTTATTTTTATTTTTTTTAAATGTGTGCCAACACACTAGTGGTGCTTTAGAGCACCATTTTTAGTGGTATGTATCATCGCCAATATATATATATATATATGTGTGTGTGTGTGTGTACGCGCGATCGCGCACGGACGCGCACGAGCATTTTTGTGTTTTTTAGAGCTTAAACTCGAATATTTGTTAAAATGACAAAAAATCATTGGAAAATTGATTAATAAGTCTCATATTTTGAATTTGTGACTCATATAATCTCATATTTTTTTATTGTGATCTATTTAGTCCTTTTGGATGTATAATGACTCATTTACCAACTGCAACATTTGGAAAAAAATATACTCAAGAATTTTTTAGTATCACATTATACTCGCTACGTTGGAATGTCACATTTGGGAAAAATACACTAATGAATTTTAAATTTTTTTTGAGTGTCACATCATATTCACCACATTGGAGTATCACATGTTACATTTAGAAAAAGTATACTAAGAAATTTTTAAATTTTTTTAGAGTGTTATATCATACCCGTCACGTCATTACATTGCGAAAAAATACATTAAGGAGTTTTAAATTTTTTTAGAGTATCACTCTATACCCACCATGTCGTTACATTTAGAAAAAATGCATTTAAGAGTTTTTAGTTGTCACATCATACCCGTCATATCGTCGCATTTAGAAAAAGTATACTAAGAAATTTTTGTTATCACATTATACCCGCCACGTCATTGCATTTAGGAAAAAGTATACTAAGGAGTTTTTAATTTTTTTAGAGTGCCATATCATACCTGCTACGTTGGAGTGTCACGTGTTACATTTGGAAAAAGTATATCAAATAGATTTTACTTTTTTTAGAGTATCACATCATACCCGTCACGTTGTCACATTTAAAAAAAGTACACTAAAGAGTTTTTTAATTTTTTTAGAGTATCACATTAATACCTGTCACATTAGAGTGTCACATCATACTTGTCATATTAATAAAAAGATATAGCCGTTCACCAATACAATATCAAAATCGAAAATAGGACCACACAGAACGAAACTCTACACTAATAGGACTTGACAGATCAATAGAAAAAACTTAGGACTAATTAGAGTAGTTGTTTGTGAAATGAGATTTATTGGTAAATATTCCAAAATCATTTTCAATTGAATTTTACTAGTGGTCTGAATTAAAATTTTGAGGGACTTTAAAATTATTGGTAAATATCTCCCACAATAATAATTAGGGTGTGCGCGGGGCGGGGC